GTTTACTTTACTCTAAATTTAAAGCAGTGAGATTTTAAAATCCCACCACTTCAATTTAGGGTGAAGTAAACCCCCATTTCATCTACACATGCCCATAATTCAGAGATGATGCAGAAGAGATGATGGAATTGGTCAACATGCAATACATTTAGTATACAGAATAAGAAAGAAAAGGTGATTCTCCGATAAAAAAGATCAAATGTCATCAGCAGGGAGGTAGTTAGCCACGTTAGTCTGGTCAGGCAAAGTGCCAGCTGAAATTTATTACAGGTCTCTAATGGACCAGTGGGGATTTCCCTCAGCAAGGTTTCTTCCTGAGAAATAAGGTGCTGAAACCAATAATTTCAACTGTTAGATTTAAAAGGAGTGATTTGCCACATTAGGGGAAAGAATAAACAAATAAATGCCAGCCTGTTTTTCTTGGCTTTATAAAACTAGAGAAAAACATTTCTAGCCACAAACAGGTAACGCCTGAAATAACAAATCATGCTAGATGTGATGGCAACTGACCCCATGCTCTAAAAATCACAGTCTCCCTGGTTTATGTCTGCTATTAGGCAGTTCATCACAGGAAAGGATGATAACTGAAAATGATTTACAGCAGGGGTGTCCACAGGGCTGGATGAGGCATGTGGGGCCAGTATGCAGGCCATATTGGGCCCACAGACCAGCCCCCAGCACTGACCTAGCGTGGGTGCCACATGCAGCATGTGCCCTGGACTAGCCATGCATGTTGCACACCACCTCCAGCCCCATGTCACGTGGCACCTGGAGTGTGGGACTGGCCTGGGGTATGTACTCCAAGCAGAGCACACCCCAGACCAGCCCTGCACTTTGTGCAGAGCATGCTGGCTCCACAGGGCCGATCTGGGGCGCACGCTGCTTATGGCATCTATGCAAGCCTAGCACTGCATGCTGAATCCACCATGGGGTCTGTGAGCCCAATCTGGACTGGCTCTGGACCCAGCATGCAGGGCTGGTCTGATGAGGCCACTGCATGCAGCATTTGCCCCAAACCAGCCGCATGCTGTGTCTGCAGCCAAGGCCAGGGCCAGCGCATTCTGCGTGGGACAGTAAGCACAGCAGGTCAGATGATACAGCTCCGTGGGCTAGACCCAGCCTATGGGCCATCTCTCTGACACACCTGACTTCCAATTACTGTCTGAGAGAAGACCCTGGGTGCAGCTAGAACACCTGAAACAGCTTCTGTTCCACTTGGCACATCTGACTTAGAGCCAGGTCCTGTTAATCCTTGTATACAAGTACACATGCAAGTAATCATAAGAGCAGTTAGCACTTGCAGATTTAGTGTCCAGGTGAACCCAATCCAGCAGCCATCATGCTTACAACACTCCCAGGCAATTTAGGCTGCCATTGCTTCAGAAGCAGATATGAAATTAATTCTTATAATGTCAGAGGAAAGAACTGTGCCCCAGATATAACTCCATGTACACAGTCTTTCTGCGCAAAGATTTTTCAGGGTTTTTAGTACAAATGAGCGTTAAGTAAAGAATTTGATTTGTAATACCTGCACAGAATTTCAGGGCACCTAATAATGCTCCATTTTTATATGTGGTGTTTCAACAGAAAGAATAGATTCATAGATGTTAGGGGGCTGAAAGGGACCTCACACGATCATCAGGTCCAGCCTCCCCTGCACTTGGGCAGGAAAGACTGCTGAGGTCATCTGACCCCAGCAAGGTGCGCAGTTTCTAAAGCATCACTAAGGCCATGCTCACATCATGAACTCAACTCAAATTTGATTTTTACAAATTGTTTTACAGGGTTATTGTGTAACTAACCATTCATAGATTTCATAGATTTCTAGGGTCAGAAGGGACGTAGTAGATCATCAAGTCTGACCCCCTGCCCTGGGCAGGAAAGAGCACTGGGGTTCAGTAACCCCAGTCAGGTGCTTGTCCAATCTCTTCTTGAACACCTCCAAGGTGTCCATCGATTCTTGGGCAGTCAATGGAGAAGCGAGCCTAGAATCCTTAACCTTCCCTTCTTCAAACAACCAAGGACCTGATTTTCAAAGGTATTTAGTGCCTAGATACATAGATAAAGTCTCTAGTGGGATTTTCAAAAAGTACCTAAAAAGATTAGAAACTCATTAATTTCAGGGAATGTTTAGCAACTAAACTGTCTAGGCACATTTGAAAAATACCACTAGATACTTAAATACCTCTAAAACTCTAGCCCCAAGTCCCCCTAGCTAACAACTACAACACATGCATCTTACATGAACCAGGCAGTAAAAGCAGACAAAGACTTACACTTTTCTGGTGTAAAATTACATTGTTACATTACACAGCTCCTGAAGGTAGCTTGTTCCTTTGTCTTCCTGTTTTTACAGTTAGGAATTTTATTTTGGGATTTAATTTAAAGTCTTCTTTGACGCAGTTTAAGTCCATTGCCTTCTGTCCGCCCCCTGCAGCAAGAGAAAACAAAACAGTTGTTCCTCCTTTTCTTTATGGCAGCTTTTCAAATATTTGAAATCTGCCATCCTGACCTTCTCTGACCCTGTAATCTCCTTTTCTCAGATTAAACATACCTTGTTTTTTATGCCTTGTACAGCATGCACTCCAACCCCTTCATCATCTTTGTCACTCACCTCAGTTTTCCTACATCCTTCTTAAAACATGGACCCCAGAAAAGCACACCGCACACCTGCTGAAGCCAAACCATCATTAAAAAAAAGAGAGAGCCATGTGATCACCTCTCATGTTTTGTATACAGGATCTGTTAAGGTAGCTCACAGTTGCATTTGCTTTTTTGCAACTGCATCGCAATGCTGACTCACACTGAGTTCATGATCTATCCTAACCCTCAGAGTGTTCTTGGCACTGCTACTACCAAGCCAGTTGTATCCTCTGATATCCCTAAACCAATGACAGTTGATGCCAGGGAAGGTACAAGAAGGGATGAATCACTCATGACATGCCCATTCTCCCTCTAAAGCATCTATTACTTGCTGAGATGGGATGCCATGCAAAACTGACCATTGGTCTGACCCAATATGGCACTTCTTACATTTTTAGTTATCTGCCATTCTGTGCTTGAACATCTGTTTTTTCTTCCTCAAGTATAGCACCTTTCATTTGCCTTTATCCAATTTTGTTTTTGTCAAGACCCAGTTCTCTAGTTTATCAAGATCCTTAATTATTCTAAACCTCTCAGGATTGGAATTCCAGTTTTGTGTCATCCGCAGACTTATCAGGAAGCTCTCTATTCCTGTATTATGTAATGTAATTATAATGACAAGACAGGACCGGATGCAGAACACGCCACCGTGGAATCTATTCGAGACCTCCTGCTATTCTGATATCATTCCTTTTAGAGTTACTCTTTGCTTGTGGCTATTCAACTGATTATGTATCCATCTAGCAGCAGTTCTATAAAGCCATATTTCTCCAGTTTTCTTACACAAATGTCACATGGGACTGTGTCAAAATCCTTACTGAAGTCTGGGTTTATGATGTCCACTTTGTTCCCCTCATTCACCAAACAAGTTACCTGGTCAATGGGGAAAATCATGCTAAATAAACTTGATCTGTTCTTAACAAATCTGTTGCCTGCTAGTGTTCACCCCTTCTGATAATTTGCTCTAGTCCCAATGTATAATTATCCAATTCCTCCGTTTCCCCCTTTTTATATAGATAGACACTATGGGCGCGTCCACACAAGTGTGCATGTACCTCTTGCCCCACCTGGGCTGGAGGAGGGGGGAGGGGACAATGGGGGGGACCCCCAATGGCCCCGCTCGCTCCCCCAGGCCCCCCGACCCCTGCCCTGGCTGGTCCCTCCCCTCACCAGCCCCGAGGCCCCC